GTATATATTTCGCGAAAGATATTTTCGGCCTACTGGTACACATTTGTACTTGCAGTTTTTTGCAAGGCCTAAATACCCTCCGCGAGGGGTATCCCCGCGCAAGCTGTTGCTCCCGCAAGGTTCAGATGGGTTCTGAGGATGGGGGATCCTGGTTGCTATGTATGGGTCAGTATTCGCAGTGAAGAGAATTTAGTTAGAGTGTAGTAACAGTCTGAAGGAACAAGCTGTCGGACATCTTCCATAAAATATCGCTATTTTTTCACGATGAAATTTTGTCCTCACTACAACATTTTTGATTTGGATATACAGTATCTGAATTCTAATCTATGGAAAATTTTCCAAATTTTGCGGATTTATATACTAGCCTCCGTGAATTTTTCTGCTCGCAAAAAAATTTGCATGAACAAACATGAAAATGCAAAAATGCGTGGCGCACGGGCGGTATTTCAAATGGAAGAACAAATTAGTCTTTATATTCGGACCTCCTCGATAAACTTCCTTAATTTTTTTGTCGTTTATTTTTATTCATACCTTACGTAATTGCATTCGGGTGCTAGTTGCCATATGGGTGAAATAATATTCGGAAATTTGACCGGGGAATCTCATCTCCAAGAATCTAGACAACACATGTCCGAATATATGCACTTTCTGCCGAAATTTTCGGAAATGTCGATATTAAGAAATATGATATACTGTATATACTGTAATACGTAAGACTAAATTGAGCAGTTTCCATGGACGAATCATAAAAGTAAAATATGAAAATCCAGAAGTGTGCATGGAGGGCATGTTTCAACGTGAAGACAAAATTAGCCTTTATATTTGGATCTCCTTCTTAAACTTCCGTATTTTTTTTCTTCACGTTGAAATACGCCCTGGATGCGCCTATCTGGATTTTCATATTTCTGAGCGTAACAATCGAAGAACAAGTTCATTTCCCTGCGTCAACTGGGCTTCTTCTTTTATTTATTCATTTTTTCAAGAGCCAATACCCTGCGGGCGCAGGAACTTCGATGGGGTCGGCGTGCGTTTGGCCGGAAGTGCCGAGATACAACAGGCCCAATATGGAGAATTCCCGTGGATGGTGGCCTTGTTGCGAGAGGACACCATAGGCAGAAGTCAGCCCATCGACGTGTACGTCTGTGGTGCAGTGCTCATCTCTCCCCACCTCGTGGCCACTGCGGCGCATTGCGTGAATGATTACGCGTGAGTCACTGCTGCTGATGTGGCCCTCAATTTCTGAACCCTGTTCCATAGAATCACGACAATGAGGTGACCTTGTACGAAAGATTTGAGAAATGCAGTAAATTTCTCAAGTCTTCCTCGGATTTTATATATGAGTACAGTATTGTTTTTCTTTTGGGACTGATGCCAAAAACGTTTGAAAAAAAAGCAGTAATTACGCCAGGATTATTAATATTGACTCATTTTTTCTGGCTTATTTTTGGAAGGACATGGGGGTGATCTCGAAGTGTGTCGAAAGAAAAATGCCGTGATGGAGAACAAGTCAAGGGATAGTCGAAGTAAAATATTACCTTCTATTAAATTCCGACCATTTCCTTGTCAAGTATTGCTTTTTAGGAAACGTTGGTACAATTATTCTGTTTTCCGTCGCCTCTGTCAGGTCTCATGTTTTATCGGAGATATTTTCTGCTTTCTTTTGCATTTCGCATTTTTAAGATGGCATCATTTTTTACTTTTTTTTTCGTTAAAGGGTTCTCACTTGTAGGTACGTCCTTTTTGGAAATTGTTTCAATGACTTTCCATGTTTTTGCTAAAGTACAATACATAGTCACGCATGCATTCTCACCTCGCCGTAATTTTATCCATCCTTTGTTTTTTTTCAAGAAAAACTTCGAAGTAAATTATTCTCATGTGTAAAGCTCTCAACGCTTGATTTTTATTTATGATTGCATCGGGGTGTTGACATATGGACGCCATAACATTCGGAAAATTTGACGGCGGGGAATGTCATCTCCAAAAATCTGGACAACGAATGTCCAAATTTATAAGCACTTTCTGCCAAAATGTCCAGAAATATCAAGATTTAGAAAAATTATATTTTTCATATTTATAATTAATGAATTTAGCAGCTGCCATAGACAAAACATAAAAGGAAAGCCAGCAATTTTAGATAATCTTTTATTTTACAAAAGAGGCAAATTTTGTGCTCCTCTTTTTTTGGGTTTTCAATCAATTGTGTGAACTGTAAAGTACAGCAAAATGTGCTCCGACGACTTTTTGTTGTTGTTGAATTTTTGACTCTTTCATGCCAGAAAGACTGATTTTGTGCAATTTTCTTCCCCATTTCTGCTTCAAAACGGATAATTTTTAAATGTTTTAGGAGAAATGTTTCCGAATATTTGCGAAACATGAGGAGTGCTAAAAGATATTTCTCAAAGAAGTCTTTGAAAAAGTTTGATATATTACTGTATTATGCAGGCGTTGAAACATACCGAGAAAGCCTTGATAAAGAACGACATTTTGAATCGCATTTTCTCCTATTTATTTCTACATTGTTTTCACACTATATACAATTGAAAATTTCAGGAAAGGACTCTTCTTCAATCTGAAAGCCAGGTTGGGCGAGTGGGACGCGTTGGCAGACAGCGAGCCGTATCACCAACAGGACTTCCGAGTGAAAAGTATCGTGATTCATCCGGAATTCAGACCACGGCTGGTGCTCAACGACATTGCCATTTTGGTTCTCGAACACCCGGTTCAGTTTTCCTCCTTCGTCTCGCCGATTTGTTTGCCATCCGAGGCGGAAAATGAACAGTACTCTCGGATTGAGAAATGCGTCGTCACCGGCTGGGGCAGGGACTCCTTTTGTAAGTTGTTGTCCTTATGGACAACAATATGTGTTACATAAGTATAATAATCGATTAATATATATATATGTATATATATATATACATATATATATGTACAAAGGGAATTACACCACTTAGTTCTGGCAGAAGAAAATTAGAATTTCGGGTAAAGCAAAATTTTGTTCACGGCCTGATTTTGTAATAAGGCCTTCTAAAAATAAGAGGGTATCCTGTTCTAAAATTATGGGAGAATCTATTTGTAAACATAAAACAGCCCTGAAAGAAAGGGCAAACAATTTTTGGATAAGATTTGAGTTGATTTACAATATAAAATATTGAAATTCGCTATAATTTTCCTCCTTGTCAAGATGGTTCATGTTAAAGCAGTCAGTCCCCAAATCAGGGCCATAATTTGCCCTGGAAAATAGTGTGGCACTAAATCGTGGGTATTGTGTTGTATTTGGGGCAAATTTTTTTGAGGGCTTTTACTACTGTTTTAGTAAAATAATTTAGTCTTGTTTGCAAAATTTTTTGGCCATTTGAGTTTTGCACTGTACAAGAGAAAAAACCACAGGAAATAATTTGAGCGTTATTTCCCTTCAGCATGTAGTGGTACAAAATATATTGGATTTTTGCACATACTGGGTCAAGTAAAAGAGTCAAGATTCAGTTTTGTATCAGCCTTTCAACAAAAGTGCAAAACTCCAAGATCAGGTGGAGTGATTTAAATTTTTTTTAAGAGACTATCTTTTGATGCAGAGGTCACCCAAATAAAACCACAAAATTACATGCAAATGCAGAAATCAAATTTTGAAAACTATCCTGAGCATGGACAGGTGATTCTCAATAAAAAAAATGGTGACATCCATAAGGAAATATTCCTCAATTTGATCTGATTTCTGCCTATTCTTCATTTTTATTGTGCAGGACCATGTTGAGGCACTGGGTGAGTTGGCAACTAGATCAAAGGTTTCCTAAATGAGAAAATAACAAAAGGAATTTTGTTGCAAGGGAATTTGTGGCACTATCCAGGGGTGGCACTAAATCAAGGGTTGACCATACTGTATTTGCATTTCAGACGGTAGGATGCAGAATGTGCTGAAGTTGATAGAAATCCCGACTGTGCCGAAGAGCACGTGTGAAGAAAAGCTCCGCGATACGCGATTGGGACCAAGATTCAAACTACATCCTAGCTTCATTTGTGCTGGTGGTAATGGAATTGATGCCTGCAAAGTAAGTAGAAGCCTATACTTTCCCATTATCTTACTTTTTTCAGTTTTTCGTTGATGATGCACAATCTCAGAGAAATGTCTTGAATTCTTATGCGGGTAGACCGACGTTCCCGGTCAACGTGGTTAGACTGTTCAAGTAAATTTTTTTGTAAATATCTTGCTAAAAAACATTTTTTCTGATCGAACGCGATTTCAATGTTTTCTCGGCCAACTTTAATGATCCTGAAACGAATTACAGCATTCTAAACTATGCTTTAGCATACTTCTGCGGTTGCAGGAAAAATCGAAAATGTTAAAACTTTTCTTAAAGGCTATTCTAGACCTATTGCGTAAAAATTTATGAATCCGCGTTTTATTGACGCGCTTTAGGCTTTTCTCGCTTTTCTTACCATTGTCGATTGAGGTTGTGCCATTTTCAAAAATATAAAATACAAGATTAATTTAAACCTTGAATTAAAGTTGGGTAAGACATATTTTGAATGTTTCAAGCTCTGAACAAAATTTTCCTCAAACTTGTTGGGTATGTTGTATATATGGAGCAAGATTATGTCCCCTTAAGCTAATAAAAATAATTGTAGATAAAGGACAATGTTTAATTTTGAGGAAGCTGCAGGTTTAAGTAAAATTAGTTTACCAGGCAATTTGGGCATAAATCATGCTGTTGATTATTCGGATGAGATTCAACCATTTGAGTATGCTTTTGAAGCATTTTAACCTTCTGCCAAAAAATCTCATGCAAGAGCTGCAATCATTGTCAGAATTTTACTGATGCTTCCCACAAAAAGGAAGAAAGGAACAGAAATGTGTAAATAAGTTGAGGAAAATCATTAGAAATTCACCAGAGAACTTCCATTTAAGAATATGACTGTAGAATGTGTTCGAAAAATGTTGCAATAACAGACAAAAGAAGAAATGTGTAGATTTGTTTTCCTGAGTTCATATCATTCTACATACAGCCTCAACATGCGTAGGCTAAGCTTCATTATTCTGTTCGTACTTCGTGGTATTTTCCATAAGAACTGGATTGTTTACTCAAGGCATTCAGATATAAATTATATTGCTGTGAAGCCATATCACCTCTAAAGCGTATTTTGAAAATTCGATACAATACAGCGGTCATTCCGTCAAACAACTCTTCACTTTTTTCTTTCGTTCTTTATATAGAAAATCAAACCGTGTCGATCGTCAGTGGATTGAATATATATACAAGCAAATGTTTTTTTAGTTACTTATTTATGCTCATGCGAGCTGAGAGATGAATTCTTTTCAATACTTCGAAAAGGATTAGGAATAATTCGGAATAATTCTCCTCTTCAACCCTCTCTGCAAATATTTTGTGCTTCTGAATGACGGATTATGAATTAGTTCTAAATCACGGGCACAATTTTCGCGCGCATAAAAATGTTTAAAAATAAATTAAAAATGATGATTTATTCAAGAGTTCCTTGCTGCTTAAGACACTGAAAGACAGTGATATTCAAAATGTGTTCTTATGCTCTCTGTCGTGCATGTCATTTGTAGCAAGAAATATTATTGGACATTCAGACTTGAAAACAGTTCTTGAAAAAGCTTTTTATTCACATAATTTGCGCAATGTTATTTGGATATTCAAAGTTTTTTTGAAAATGTTTATCTTTGAATTTACACTGTTATATGTCCATCAGAGTTTCCCTAGATAATATATTTTATTTATTTAAAAAAAATGTTTTTTTTATATGCGCACTGTTATTTGTCCCTCGAAGTCTCCCTATAAATTGTAAACCTATTCTTGTTTCATTTTATTTTTTTTCAGGGAGACGGAGGTAGTCCACTAGTCTGCCCATCGCTTCACACCGGAAGCGACGTTCAGTCCATCCGGTATGTGTTGACTGGGCTCGTAGCTTGGGGCATTGGTTGTGCTGGGATCCCCCCAGGCGTTTACGTGAACGTGCCGTACTTCATGCCTTGGCTTGCGCCTTTCTTGAAGGAATACGACCCCGGATACGATTATTTCGGTCATTCATGAGAATAATTGACTTGTTTACACAGTGCACTGCGTATTCTCACATTTTGGACTGATTAAAACGCCAAGAAAATGAATCGATCTCGTAGGTGAGCGTTTTCATAATTTTATTTCCTCTCAAACTATTGCTGCCAGTTCGCTGAAATTTTAACTGTAATGCGTACGAGGGTTGTCGATCCCAGTGTTCATTTGACGCGATCTCAGTTATTCTTTGAGTACGTGTAATTATAAAAAAAATCACGACAAATAGCCCATCTTATTTTAGAGTTCTAGAATTTTTTTCAGATTTTTAAAGGTTTTCAATCTACTGCATGATGAGTGAAAACTTCTTAGTTGCCACCAGACCATGTTTTAGGTGGCTACAAATTTGTCAGGCTAAAAAATATCTATTTATTTCTTGCGTCAATCATTCTCTAAAATTTAGAAACGACAATGGGTAAAACAAAACAACAAATTAAACTTTTAGCCAGCCTGAGAGACTTTAGCACCCCGTGCCATGGGTGGAGATAACTCTGAGAGTAACTGCAATTTGAATTTATCATGCGGTAAATTGAAAAAAAAATGTAAAACTTGCTCAGCTTTTGTTCGTCATTTTAAAAATCAAACCATGTCGATGTTCTGCAAATTAAGTACAGAGAAGCACTTGGTTACTTGACACGCATGTCAGCTGATAAATTAATTATTTTCAACACTTCGTCACGTGTTTGGAATAATTTTCCTCTTCGACCCTCTCATCAATATATATTGTCCTTCAGAATGACTCATTATGTGTTACATTTTGTTAAACAAGATCAAGTGAAAATTTTTAGCCAGCCTGAGAGACTTTCAGGTTTCTTTTCGAAGTCATCTCTTACAAAATTCATTGAAATTCAAAAAAATATTTAATTTTGTGCGAGCTTAAAATAGCGTGCGCGTTGATGGATCTGAAAAATTCCACCGTCTCCGAATACTACAGCATCAAACCTTTAATTTACAAAAATCATCAAACATATGCGTCTCTCTCGTGTACATAATAATCCAATTTTGGTCATCGAAGACGCCTTGGAGACGTAGTGAATGTGACATTGACGATCCCAGAATTGATTGACTCGTCTGACTTGAAAAAAATCATCAAACATATGCGTCTCTCTCGTGTACATAATAATCCAATTTTGGTCATCGAAGACGCCTTGGAGACGTAGTGAATGTGACATTGACGATCCCAGAATTGATTGACTCGTCTGACTTGAATACGACTGACATCAGTGAGGTCGAGCTGACAAATTGTGCAGGTCCCCGTTGTGAAAGTACGTCACCTCGAAGAGTTGCTATCAAATTAGCAGTCGGTGAACAGTTGTCTCTCAGCTGAAACACAGAACAACTTGTTCAAAGAGGAATGCGGAAAAAAAACATTGGGTTTGCATTCCATTGAAATTGAATTTCATCGGGCATCATATAGCTAAATATAGACACAGAACAATTCCGGAATTCGAAATGATCGGACACCAAATGAACCAATCAATCCATTTTTCATCAATTATTTCGAGATCAGTGACAGCATTCATACATGTCATAAGGTTTCCACCAAGCCCATTCCTAACATTTTTTCTTTTTCCCTTTAAACGTAACCCTAAACGTGCATGTCACGACACTACACAAGAGAAGGTGTTTTCACAAACGGCAAACACATTTGTGGAAAATTTTTAAAATTGAAGAATGCATTTTTATGCTTCTTTATTATTCATTCATTATTAAAGCCAGCCACAAAAATATTCCGTAAGTCAAAATTGTCGGAAACCACGCACGAACCTATCAATCCATTGAATCATAAATAGAAAACTACAGTGCATTCAATGCGGAATTTCTGCATTCCGAAGGTATTTGGAGTAAGTATTATAAAATTGAGAAGGAAATTTCGAAAGGGACTTGCCAGTAATTTTTTCTGTTTTGTAAATAATCACGAACCCAAAAACAATATTTGCGTAGCATTTTTAAATGTAAAAAAATATATGTGCATTGAAGCCAATAAAATTTTCGGAAATTTTACCGCCTTCGCATTTTTTTCAATAAAATTGGTTTTCAGACTTTTTGCTTAGTTTATAGGCGTCGTTTAGAAAACCAAGCTATATACGGCACTAAGAGGAACTTCTTACACCCCAAGACAAGCAAAACTATACGTACCAAAATTAGTCTTTTGAAGTTAAGTATTTTGAGTGGAGCATGTAATCGCAACAGGCTTCCGTGACGAACTGGTTTATTGTCAATATTACATTGTTTCCCCCTCCACAAATGCAATGCAACAGAGAAGCATTGTTGGGGTAGGGATTCCATGCGTACTTCAAGGGTTCTGAAGGTCCCAGCTTTGTGTAGTTGTAGCCATCTAAAAAGTCAAAACCTCCATCTTCAAAAAATTTTCTCGTTTGTAGATTTATTCTACACAACATTTTTTGGGCCTCGAGGAATCTGGATAATATTCACTGCATAAATTGTATGTCAATTCCAACGTATACTGCAGCATCTCGAGGAGAAAAAAAAAAGATTGAACCGCGAAATTTTTAAACTGCTTCATTCCACGCATTGAAACATGCCTCGGAAAATTGCGTCATAGGTTTTTATGTCGACGTTCAAGCAAATAAAGTCTCGCAGTCAGTTTTTTTTCTGAAATATTGATACATCATCTTTAAATCGCACCGGATGGGATGCAATAATTTTGTTCATACGTACTTGGTACGCAAACTTCAAGCGTACTGGAACATGTGTTTTGAGTAAAGCCTGATTTTTGGCATGCGCAAATTCCATCAGCGCAGGTACTTGTCAAATTCGAGCCACATGTGTCGCCAATCACACAACTGTCTCCGAGTTTCTGCACTAAATAAAAACATTGTTCGTTAATGCCCTATATGGATTTCAATTTTCGATGTTTAAAAAATAATTTTATAATGAATTTCCGCGTTTAATTTTAATCCAGAAAGGGGAAAACAAGGCCATTTTACAATTAAAGGTCGTGACATGTATTCTCCTGGCTTCAAATTTATGCATCATTTCGTTGTTACTTGCAGTCAAGTATTCGAATTTTGTCTGATACGAGCGAGATTTTTCCATTGATCTCGTGATTTTTCCTTGTGTTGGTCATAATATTTGAATTGTTTTGTTTGTTCCTATCTAAGCTCTTCCTAATTCCATAATTTTGGAAAACATTAAAAATGAGACAAAGAAGGCTAAAATACCAATCGTGGGCTAACTAGAATAATATTTCGATTTTACTGTACATTGAACCCGCTCAAGATCTAGTTTGAGATCCTTCAAATAAGATAAACAAAATTATGATATCAACAATTCTGAATTGAAGTTTCTCATGTGAAATCGTGAGTCTGAACCAGCATCAGAGATGGAAACAGCAGTACTTTTGTTATTTCACTGAAATCGAGATTCTTTGTTTTCGGTATAAAATTTATTTATGTGATTGAACAATTTTTTTATCATTACTGTACACAGATCATAACATTGGTTTTAATAGTTTGTACCGTTAACCTTTCTTGAAATCTTAGTGAAATTCTTAATGACATGAGATGAGGTATAACGCACGTAATCTTTTTATTTTAAGACAAGGTGCTTGGAACTGTCCTCATCTTCGAGGCGTCTGGGATAAAGCCAGCAGAACATTTGCATATTCCAGACTGACACACTGAGCCTGGAGTACTGGCAAGACATTGCCCAGTCCTCAGGCAAGTGTCCCCTAAACGGGTTGCTGAAGCAATCGAACAAAGGTGATATTTCATTCCTTTTTCAAATTCAAACAATAAAACTGACCGGTATTTACTTGAGTACTACGCGTAACTTTTTTTCTCTGAAAATTGAGAGGGAATCAAGATGGTAAGTATCATACACGGGTATACATTTGTAAAAGTTGTAAAAATTTAGGTATGCAGTATACGAGGGTTGTCCCGCTTAATTGAACATAACCTTGGGTATCGCTGGAGTGGGTACCACAGCAAATAAAATCTTATGATTTAGATCATGAAGATCTATGGTCCTGCGAATCTTTCAAGATTTTTCCAAAGCAAATTCAATTTTTGGCATGATGATAAGTGAAATCTTTCAAGTTTTTTTTCCTCAGTTCTTTACTCATGCCACTGGGTGCTAACTTTTGTCAGCAAAGCTAATAAATTGAAATTTTTATGTCCTTTTGAGCATGATTTATTCTACATTTTCTGGAATTTTCAAATTTTTGAGTGATTGTTTTGTTTGCAACAAACAAAAATCTAAGTGCATATGTTTCCAAGAGCAGGGGCTCATTTCCAATTTTTTTTCGTTTCCTCTTCAAAAACATCATCCAATAAGGTTTAGTTTCTGCGTGGGATAGTTTTCTTATTACCTCAAAATTTTATGAAAGTTCCGTATTTTTTATTTATATTTTTTATTTTATTAAGCCTCAAGGTCAGAAAGCAGGGTTTTTACAAGACGTTTTCAAGCCCCGTATTTGATTCTTTAATGAAAAATTGTGGACCCATTTCAATAATAGAAAAACTTAATGTAACATGGAAATAGTCGGAAATTAGTTGAATTCAAGATCAAATCATGTCTAAATCCGAATTCGGGTGCGCGTCTTACTTGGCGATAAAGTTTTATAAAAATTTTTGACTGAGGAAGGCGACTGGTACTCAAATGAATGCGGTTATTTGCAGTGATGCCTCGGCTAACCAATACACCTCTCCCAAAGAAAATGCCTGTATGAAGAGCTTCCAAAAACTAAAAATACTGCTTCGCCTTACGAACTTTTTCCAAACAACTTTTTTTTTTCTCACACGCATCATTTAACGTTTATCTCTGTCTCCCTTGCGAGAACCAGCAGTGACTCGTGGAACGAAAGTTTGTTGGAACGAATTAAGATTGTTAGGTGAGGCACCACTGGTATTTTACTCCGAGCAGGACACCTACTGAACCCTTGCGTGACCGGTTCGTGCCGTCACTTCAAAAAACTTAACGTCGGTGTAGCGAAAAGAGGCAAGACTCTGTTTGTTTCTCGTAAGCGTAGACAACGAACCGTTCTAAGCAGTATCTGCGTCTAAGGCAGAAGGGATACCACTGCAAAAAAATAAAAAGAAGAGCCAGATACGGTGCATCAAAATAAATTCGCTTTCGGCTCTTCGGCTTCTGCTAGAATAACGTCCATTTTACGAATTGTTACAAATTTCCAGAAAGATTTAAAGCCTGATAATTGCACTGTTATTGTGTATTATGATGCACTATGATACGAGTGATTCAAAATTTTATTTTAGTTTAATATCTCTAAATTATTAAATTTCTAATAATTTGAGATTTTGAGTCAGAGTTCGACTAATAAGCACTTCGCATCAATGTAAAATACAGTACGTGAAGAAAGTCTTTCCTCATTCATCAGGAATTTTTCATAAATTGCAGCCTCGACTTGGACAACTTCTTTTTCACGAATTAAAAATTGAAGACAATACATGCATTCTGCATAACAAAACATGCGTTGAGACCGAAAAATACAGCTTTCATTGCTGGAAGTACTGCTTGTATTGGAACATAATTTTGAGGTTTGAGATGCAATGCGCATATATTCAACACTAATGTTTCCTGATGTTAATGAGTACATTTGGATGGCTGGCGGATCCGTGCACGATAAAAAAAAAATGTACCCAGTGAAAAACACGATCTACTTGAAATATTTTCATTACGTGACAGGGGTCTTTGCTCTCGATGCTCAAGTTTTTTTCTTTTAAATTAGCAGAAAGAATTCATTCTCAAATACTGAACATGATGTAATAGCTTTTTAGGCTGTCTAACCTGGTATGCAAGTATCCAACGTTTGATTGGGTATCCTGAATTGCACGTAGTTGTTGGCTTCACAGACGCACTTTTTCGAACCTGCATCGCAAGTTGACCCTGTCACTCGAGCCTGGCACAAGTCACCAGTGACGCAATCCTCTCCAAGTCCAAGAGCTGTCGCAAACATAAAAATAACATTAAAAACAAGGGCAAATGCATGACCGTATTTACTTCAGCACGGAAGGAACATGTTTATTCTTCAAAAATTGGTTTAAAAATGAGAGAGCGTTGCGAAGGTGTCTAAAAAAAATTTCGTCGTCTTCGATTAGCGGATAACGCAAAATTACCGATTTTGGTCAATTAGGGAATCGTTTGAATACAAAATAGAATTCAAATACCATAAATCTTTCACATAATTTTAAATTCGGATTGGGAATAAGAGTCAGAACCTCGCCTAATTTTGGAAGTGTTTGGGAGTTTTTGAGTTGGCAACGGCATCAATCATGAAAAACAGAATCTTGTGATTCAGAGTAAATTAAATTTTTACAATGGGAGTGGATCATACATTTGATGTTGAAGACCGTTTTCATTTTGGATACTAGTGAACAAATGAAGGAGCGTCTTATGATCGCGATGTCACTTCACATTCAAGTAAATATGGGAAATTAAAAATCTAAATCGATTTAAAATAAAGTAATTGAATAAAAACTGTAAAACGTCACAGCCAATAAAATGATCATTATTTTTTATCGATTTCCCTATAGTTTCCATGCAATATGAAGACTGGCAATATATCCTGTACTTCGGTTGCATGTAGATCCATAACGTATGATGTTTGTCCCAGTGCATCTGCATATTGAAGTACCATCAGCATTCTTCAGACACGTTGAATCGGGTGATGTGGCCAAGCATTGATCGCTGATCACGCAGGGTTCGTCCAAGCGCTTAACTGAAATAGAAACGTTGACAAGCTGAAAGCCACTGACATCTACCTTCAAACGTAGCAACGAGCTCGTTTGGAGATCTTTCTTTCGCTGAATAGGTGTCTTGGTATGTATCACCTGGCAGGCACGTTTTGCCATTCGCGTCATTGACGTATCGTACCGGACATGAACACAGCATCGTGGGATTATCGCAAATGGACAAGTTTGTGACTCGCCAGCATTGTTCGTCGACTGCGCATTTGCCACCGATCGAAGAAACTGCAAAAGAGGCCACAGTGATAATCTAAGTCTGCTCGATCAATAAGTGCTTCAGCAACCCCTACTAGTAAGCGCTCACTTTTTCCCTTGACTTCCTTGCGTGTTTTTTACGCGTTTAAAGTTTTGAAGTTAACCAGACTCCTTTATAAGTGGTTATTTATATTTTTACAGTAATTCTATTACATTCCGCTAGGGGTGCGTGGATCGGTGCTGCTCGCAACGCTACATTATTCCGTAATTTTTCGTTGCGCACTTCTAAGAAACATAAAAAAGCTTCACGTCCAAAAAATTTGAAAAAATCCATAAACAGCAGTAGTACAATCAATGGGAAAATGTTGATTGGCAGGCTACTTGGAATGCATTTCGATGAACTTGAAACCATGAGGAAAACTCTCGCAGCTTCACAAACCGACGTCGTGAAAAATAAGATGGTTAGATTTTCTTGGTGGCAATTTGTTTAAAGTCAATTGGCAGGCTACTTGGAATGCATTTCGATGAACTTGAAACCATGAGGAAAACTCTCGCAGCTTCACAAACCGACGTCGTGAAAAATAAGATGGTTAGATTTTCTTGGTGGCAATTTGTTTAAAGTCCGCGTCTCGTCATTTCAATGCAAAGTGGAATCATGAAATTATAATTTTCCTGAATAACATGTGACGCGCTCACACATTTTGTCTTCAATGTGGAAGCATGATTTATTTAGGCGACATAACGGATTAAAAGCATGTGGAATCGCTTAACAATTAACGATTTTCTCTCCATAAAGAATTTCTTTGGTCGACGGTCCCTTAAATTTCGTCGATCCCCAGATTTTTTTAGTGACTCTCTCTATCTCTCTCGTCCCTCTCTCATTTTCAAAATGGATATTGCGATCGAATACTTGTGTCCCATTAATCGTAAAATAAGAAGCAGAAGGGCACACAAAAATAATTTCACCTGGAAGACAAGCCGACGCCGAAGGGGCGTTGATGAAGTTCAGACCGCAAATACAAGTTTCGCCTGAACAAATGGCCGAGTTATATTGGCTGCAATCTGCATCCGAGCCACAAATGCGACCTATAACGTTTTCTAGATACGAGAAGGAGAAAACAAAAAAATGCCACGATTTTGAGCGATTTTCCGAAGAACTGCCAGCACAAGACTGCGCTGAATAGCCGCATCACTCAACTGTAGATGCAATTCCTCAAAGTCGCGTCCGGGATGTAATCGAGTTTGCAGGTGCACCGACCTTCAGTACACTCCGAGTTGCGTGTTCGCACTTGACATCGTTCGGAACTCCAGCAATCGTCGCCGAGTGCCGGATCCCCGGTTTCCTGAGCGGGTTTGCCTTGAAAAATTTTGACGGTCCCTGAGTCGATTGGCCGCGAAATTTCGATCAAAAATAACAGAACAGCAGCATCAACTGTATCACCGTCAAATACGTTGAAATGATTCCTCGCTCTATGTAGAGTAAGTTGACGGAGTGCATTAACGTGTCGTAACACATATAATCGTACCCCGAGTGCTCCAATATTTTTCTTTCTTTAAAACTAAAATTTTCAATTACAAATTGCAAGATGTTAATACAACCGTGGAATGTGGTTATACGTCTCTTGATTCAAACATTATTCGACACTCTCATCTCTGAAGACAGAAAGAAAGGCCTACATGTATGTTTTCATCCTTTAAGGACATTTTTAATTTGAATGCAAGCGTAGATTTTTCTTAGCAGCAGACATTTTAAGCTCAGATTTTTTTGAAGCATTTCAATATTCAAATACTGTTCAAAGACCTGTATTCGTGACAAGGAAAAATGTTGATAATGAAAGAAGGATTCGGATAGAAGAACCACAATCTTTTCCTTTTTACCATCGAAGAATTGTAAAGAACTCTTTGAGTAAGACAGTCTGGAGCTCAGGATTTTTTTTTTTGGGGTTCAGGGATTGATTCAGCTGAAGTCAAGATGCTTTCGATCGAACTTTTACCATGAATGAATCTTATAAATGCCTACCAAATAAATCCAAGTGCATAGAATTTGACCATTGTTGATTTGACATTTGTCATGCACTTGTCATGAGAGTTTCACGTAAATATTTTTGGTCAATTTGTTGCCCTTGATTGAAGAAAAAATTTCTGAACAGCAACAACTGATAATTTTTCCAATCGTCGAAGGATAATTGAAAAAAATATTCGCTGCTCAAATAAAATGGCAATGTCTAAATATCTCCGCATTTCCAGCTGATGTTCTAAACTATCTACAGTATCAATTTTCTAAATGCTCGTACAACTGCGAATTCCGTACTTATACATTTTAACCACAATAAATCGGACCTTCCTAAGTCAAATACCTCCCTATTCATATTTTAAAAGCCCGACTCTGAAATAGCTTAGAAACAATGCATTAAAATCTTCCCTGACTTGACTTTCCCCTCCACAACCCCATAACTGGGATTTTCAGGTGGCCTTTTGGCTATACAGTATTTTTAGTGACAAAGAAAAAGAGAAAAACAATACACATGTAACTTTATGCGTTTTGAAATTACAGTATGTGAGAGACTAATTGGGCAAATTAACCCTTGCCACCAACTCCAGCATAATTAAAAAAATATATAATAAGCAATTTAAGTGCCAGAATATCACCAATTGCAATGTCCTGCAATTTTCCTTTGCCCCCCCCCCCCCCCCCCCCCCCGCAACAAAAATGCTAGTTTCCATAACTTGAAACCTATCCTTCACTCGATTTTTTTCTTATGGTCCCTTGAAGTTTGGCTTGAAAAGGTTTGACTGCTGTGTGGTGCTGATAAAAAAATTAAATGAATATTAGACAGTACAGTATTGAGAACAATTACACGGTATCTTCATGATATTTAGGGTATTAAATATGGGTCACATTTATTGATGGCGGGCAGCACTTCGGAACAAGTTGGCCTCACATAGAATTACTGTATACGTAACTAACGGTTTTATGTTGTGAATATCATTCGTCGCCATTTTCACTAAATTCCTCTATTTACTGCCCACTGCTCACACTGACAAACCTCGGGTGATCCACTGAAGGATATTGGTGCTCCAAGGCGAGTACCACGACGAGTCCTGAGAAAGTACCTGGCCGACTGTATTAGCTTGTGCTTGAGTCTGGCTCAACGCACAGACGAGCAATACAAATGAGCCCCAGATTGAAATACCACACTCGCAGAAAACGGCGAATCGAAGAGACATTTCTCACGCGACTCACACGTGGAAGAAACTAGCACTAGTTTCTCGTAATAAAAAAGTCATAAGGCTTTATGTCTCCCTTTTACGGCCTCAAGAGCGCAGTTCATCGAATGAACTCATGAATCGTTCGATATCCCTAAAGCCTAAAAAAAAGGCACCTTGAAATAAAAAAAAGTCTCTTTTGAACTCAGGGTTTTCGACATGCCGGTTGCCATCATCAGTTAGTACTTTGTTGTACTACGATTCTATCGTTGCGTGTGTCTGATAAAATGGAACCGCATTTAATGACGAACGCTCCAACATTTAGGGCGTCAATAACGTTGAAGCATGAGAGATGCGCAATTTTTGTCGCCTATTTTTGTTTCGCTGCTGATGTTGCATACATGAGGTACAGTATTTGTAACGAAAAATACCCCGAGGAACGGTATGAAAATCTGTGACAAAATTCCGCCTCGGAAGTGCTCACCTTCTTGCCGCGAATAAGTCAGTCATTTCATTTGCGGACGACGTGAACCAGAACCACGTGTTTTTTTGAGTCGAGATCCTTAACCTGTGGAACCAACATGGAAATACAGGTGGACTCTATTTGCGAAGATCTTGTTTACAACGATTTTTTCTGTACAATGAATTCATGGTCCCAGCATAGCGTTCTCACCCAACGCCTCATACTAAAGGGGTTCTGTGCAGCTAAAATATCTCTATAATAAGAAGAATTTTTTTCTGTCTTTTGAATTTCGTTTTAGAGAGAATCCTTTTACACTTTGGATGGGTTTCTTTTCTTTTTGATCACTGCAATTGAACTGGTTAGGTAAATGTCCTGAATTTTTTATCATCCCGAGAAACAGATAAATCCAACAAAATAAATGAGAGGAAGTTCAAGAAATGTTCCAGTCCTGGGTATTTTATTTTTTTGTGCGCTGATATCGATTTAAAGTTGGGTTCCCACGGATTAAGTGACAAATAAGCCTTGGGGCACGTGGAGTTGCAACCACTTACCTTCGCAAATATTGGAGAAACTCCCAGGTTGTATCATTGCCCCTGGGAATTTCAGGAAGGGGTTCCGTGTACAAGAAAAAATCGATGTTTTGGGCGGACATCCTCAACTTGAAGGAAAAGGATTAAATGGAAAGCGTTGACCCAAGGGTGAAATCGTTTCTATTTTTATTTTCGGTTTATCACTGGTGGGGAATTGAAGATTCCAAACACCTGACAGGTATATCGATTTGCAGAAACAATCCGGGAAACCACTTAGGAGAACTCACCCTTTTCTAAGATTCTCGGATTAGTACCATAGGCTTCAGGAATCGATCTCGTAAAAGTGCTGGTCTACCAGGACTCGGCAATCAAGGAAGAAAACAACCTGTCAAATGACTGAAGAATGATAAAGGCCGTAAAAGATTCAATTCATCATTGATTCGATTCACTCGAAAGAATAAATGATGAATACGATGATTCTGTTCTGCTTCGTAAGTTCCTGGATTTTGCATCGGAACTCGAACATTTTATTACATGATAACGAACTATATTGAATTCGTCAAACTGCTAAATTCAGAACGAAAAAATTCCTCAAAAATGCACCGTAAAATGGAAACACTGTAGTTCGATTCTTTCGAATAAAAGACTCAATTCAGTATTGATATCAATCATTTGGAAGGAATAAATGATAAATAAGATGATTCTATTCTGCTTTTTACGTTGCTGGAGTTTGATTTCAGAAATAAAATTTTCATTTCTGTCTACTGAATGAGGCAAACCGCTAAATTCAGGGCAAAAAAACCTCTCACATTTCTGTTTTTCGAATTTTTTGAATTTAAGTTTTATGAGTTGAACAATATTTAGGATGTAATATTATCGTCGCATTATTGAACAAATTAGTGGAAAAAATAATGGTCAATTTAAATTTCTGCGCATCTCTAAACGTGCTTGTGAGAGAATTTGAGTTCCGTTATCTTGTGGAAGTTGACAGTCAAGCTTTCTGCACCGTATTATGAAAATATTTTTTGCGCGAATAGAACAAATAGGTCTCCATTCGGGAAAATTTCAAGCTTACGTCTTAAACTTCCATTCTTACTTTATTTAATATACTTCAGTACTGATGTGAGGTTTGCCTCTCGGAATGCCCGGAACTTGAACATTCAAGTACCACATTCCTCTCTAATATATTGCACCCCATCAGGGATCCAACTACCTCCTTTCTCCAAAATTGTCATTCCTTTCTCTCTCTTCCTTTTCCAATAGGAAAAAAAAGTGTGCGTAAAATGTACGAAAAACGGAAACAGCGAATCGTCGCTTTGCGAATGCAGTTTCAGGCGAGGACCCGTATCGAAGATAGTATAGGCATGATTCCACAAAAGTCCTAAAGCTTTTACCTTCCCCAGTACAGCACTTTTTTGCTACTATTCATGTCAATCATGGTTGTAATTTTGCCCTGTTGCGGTACTTTTCTTCAAATCGAAATAAAATCTGTAATTTTTCCATTCTGGATTTATGAAGTTACTATTTGTTGCGTTGAAAATCATTTCAGCGAATATTTTCGCGTGAGAGAATAAAAAATATTGCATTCCATCAAACGATGCAGCAGAACACCAGAATTTCAAATAATTAAAGACGGAAAGCTTGCTTGCATTCGCCGGTGAGTAATTAAAAACTTCATTTTATTCTACAAAAATAAGGGTGTGTAAATTTTAATTTCAAGGATGCAAGATATACGAAAAATCAGTTGGCTTAAGAAGAAATTTGAATAACGATGTGTGCAGACCTGATGAACTTAGGATGCATGACCATTCGCATAAATGTGGATTACCGGAGACGGAATAAGTCAATTCACCAATGCTTACAACGCCGCACAGAAAAATATATAATCAAGTAGTTTGTTGTCCAGATAATCAGTCCAAGTAATTCTCGGTCATATGCAGGGGTTGAAAAATTCCATTTGTATAACCAAGAATAATCCCTGCATGATCCAAAATTTTCAAGATAAAATAAAAACGTTGTATATGAAAGGCGTCCCTAAAAAAGAAATCCAAACATCGATGTTTTTTTTACAAAAATGTGACCGCTGTGGAGAAAGCCAGGATGACTATTATTTTTATTTGGATACCTGTCAAATCAACTTTCGAGAACTTGAGTTTAATTAAAGGGACATTAATTTACGTTGGATCTTAGTACTTCACAAAGTTTGTAAAATTTTGGTTTTATAGAGTCTGATATCGTAGTATCATCGTATTCAAACGTCTGTGGATCGAAAGCAATTATAAGTTAAGAGCAGGTTCGTAAGCCTCTGCTAAGAACAAGACTGCACATGGCTTTCCTACCCAAATTTCCCTTCAATTTTGAGTTAAATGAATAATTATAAACACGGAAATCCCTAGAAATTTTTCGAGGATCTTCCCGCTCATTTCGTGTCGCCTAATGTAGGGCTGCACTGGAGAAACTTTCTTACAAAAATTGCCCAAGATAAGTATCTTCTCCAGAAATTAATACATGCAGCTGAGCTCTACAAGAATTTTGTTTACAACGATTTTCTCTGTACATAGAATTATTTGACAGTCCCATAGGCATAGGGTTCTCTCCCAATGTTACGGGGGTTCTCTATACAACGAAACTCATTATACAACTATTTTTTTTGGCCCCTTGGATTATTTAACGAAGAGAGTCCACCTGCATTCACGGAATTAAAATCACATTGAATATAGGAGGCAATTCAATGCAGTAATTTTGTTCAAAAGTCTTTTTTTGCATACCCATAAACAAATAAAACCTTTTAAAGCAATTATTGAAAAGTAAAAAGACCTTCTTAAGAACACATTGTTCCTGCTTTTAATTTCTTGTTCGAATTCCTGCTTTTGACGATTTCATCATTCATATGCAGCCACGACATAATTTAATCCAATTTGAAGTGGGATTGAATTTACGCTAGATTATTCCTCAACTTATTATTTAATAAATTAAATTTTACAACCCAAAAGAATGTAAACTAAAGTTCCCATCGTGTGCAGGGATGAGCTTTTTTCAAAATTGTAAGTAAAAAAAAATATACGGCATGCGTCTTACTTGAAGGCGGGTGGTACTAAACAAAATATGGCATACTGGAATATATATAAACTGTGTCATGCTTCAAAATAGCGCGGCTTCAAAATTTTTTTTTTTTCTTATAGGCAAAGCAAAAGGCAGAAACTTCAGTCGTAACCCTGGTAAAAACGACGTTCTCGGGCTCTGATGAGAGCGGAATAAAACGTCAGGCAGCGAGAGAAGCGCAATTCCGCCGAGGATC